TTGGTTGTGAAAAGGTGCTGTCTTACACTATGATGAATATAGTGTATCGTGGACTCCTCTTCATCAACGTAAGTCAATCCGCAGCATTTGTCACTAACTTTCTTCACATCGTTGAGAAACTTTTGACGCTCCAGCGTTTTTTGCTCGGGTGTAAGTCCCAAAAGCTCTTGGTATTCCGGGAGCGTCAATGGCCGTTTCAAGGCACCGCAGAAGCGCAGCAGATTTAGTGTATCCCATTCCTGCCTATTCCTCAGGCGATGAAGCTTCCTGTCAAAGATCTCAGACAGGCTTCGGGGTAAATTTCTTAGCGCCTTCCGAATCTCATCGTCAGTGCTCTGTGCGCAGAGCTCTTTAATTACCAGTGAAGTCCACAGGAACCTATTTTGGTTACTTCGTCAGCGACGGGTAGTTAATTTCAATGACTAGGACAAAAGAGAAGATGATAGAGGGCATTCCTGACTGTAAGACCGACCCTCCAGTTCCAATAGTGTAATAAATAAAAGGTTGAGGGCTATGATGCTCTCTCTCACACTATACCGTTTACTCAAGGGAAATGTATGGGAGGAGTATTTTGGGGGGTTGATGTAATGATAACGTATCACTTACATCCCATCAGATCCGTCTCGGAGAGCTTGAGATATCTCAAGAATAAGCCTTGGATCCCCTAGCTTCAGCTGCTGATCAAGGCAACGATTCAGGACAATGTCAATGAATAGGCCCATGTCCGACTCGACCTTTGACTTGTTCATTAAAATTTTGAAATGTGGTTTGGCTTTCCCAAAGAGGCTCGTCTCAAGGTCTGGACGGCTTGCAAAGAGGATTTTGGCATTCGTAGTCTGCCTCTCACAAAGTCGAGTCAAGTTCAGCGCAACGTCCTGAACCGTATCATTGTCACATAGGTCCAGCCCATCGACGATGAGGTAATATTTTTTATCAGACTTTAAAGTTGACAACACGAGCTCCGTGACTTCGGTGGTGTCGATATCTCGAGTTTCATCATAGAGGATCTTGAGATTGTCCCCTTCAGCATGCTCAATCTCGAAGTCAAGTATTTGGCGAGCAAAGCTTCCGACGATATTCCTAGCTGACAAAGATGCTTCATCTTCCAGGGAACAGAAGTAATAGGATATGACCTCATCAGCTCTGCGGGTCTCATGAAGTTGGGCAACCAGATTGGACATTAGTATTGTCTTCCCGACGCCCATCGTACCTGAACACCACAAAACCGCAGGCTCATTACAATCTCTCCATTTGAGAAAATCTTCTTCATCTCGTAACCACTCGGCTGTGGAAGGAACGCGTTTTTGAATTGCCTGCTTCCACGGCCTCAAATGGTTGACTGTAGAGAGACTTTCTTTTATACTCGACTTCATTCTCAAGGCATCCCTTTTTTCCATATCAATCCGTAACTGGTTTGCCTCAGTGCTCAGGCTCTTGGTTTTCCTATAAAGCTGTGAACGGAATTTTGCATTCTCCTGTCTTTCGAGCTCCTGCAACTTCGCTGCTTCAAAATTCGCTTTATGTGAGGCTAATGATATTTGAAGTTTCGTTGCCTTGGCCGCGTCATCCAGCTTATTAAGGAAAGGTCTAAATTCGCTTTCAAATGGGTTGAAAATGGACGAGACAATCTGTGTGATGCCGGGCCGCTGTGAGACTTCGGCAATTTTGACACACAGTTGGATAATAACTGCGTAGAAATCACAAAGTGCGCTCTGAAGACCGATGCATCCTTGATAGAGTTGACCAAATTCTTCATAGGCTGGACAGAGCTTTCCGATATTCATAAGCAGATTGCTGACCTTTTCGGAGTAGGACGTTACGTTGTTTGACATTAATATCGCTGTTCTCACGCTTCCCCAAACCAGAGCGGCAATTTTGGGGTTGGAGCTGACGAATGTATCAATAGTAGCAGTGAATTGTTGCGTCTTATCCAGGAAGTTGCACAACCGTGGGCCAATACACCTCATTTTCGTGTTGGATTTGTTTTTGTCGATCTCTCTAACGAACGAAATGACGCTTGTAGGAGTGGCGGTATTTGCCTGATATTGTCGCTTTTGCTCTTCTGAGAGGATGTCTTGAAAGCTCTGCAACGCTTCTTTCAGGGGCCTTGTGGGGTCATCCACTCCCATGTTCCTGGTGAAGGCTTGCACAGCCATGAGGAGATTCCAATGCAACATGAAGTGGCGTTTGCAATTTGTTGATAGCGATTCCCGATTTGCCACAAGGTGCAGATGATGAAGCCCAGATTATATACAGGAATTGTCTGAGCGCCGCTCACGTTGTGGACTCTGCCTTCATGTACACTATGTAGTGCTCTGAGAATCATTTAACGGTTCGACGGTCAGGAGAAGGAAGTGCCGTAGTCGGGGGCGTCTAGAACGCATGATCGCATGGTACCGAGATGATCTCTTACGTCACTTTCCTTTCACTGCGGCCCTCGCTTCCAAAATACATTTGTTTCCCTTCCTGTCAAAGAGTGGTCCAGCCTGATCCATTCTCCTGACTCCGTTGAGCGTCGCAAAGGGTATTAAGCTTCAGTGGATCCAGATTACATTATGAGGACCATCCCAACCACTCCCAGAAGGCGATTAACCCCGCCACCTCGCGAACACCTGTAGCGTCTTCGGTATGGCCTCCGAGGAGTCGGTCGAGGTCCAGACCGACCTTGAGGTCAGCATCATGAAGCATGTTCGAGGAAGACACCTCCAAGGTCACGGATTGAGACTCGATCTCAAGATGACAAGTGACGGGGATATGGCGGTGGTCCATCGGTCAGAACAGATATCATCCGACTCAGAACTCTATGGATCTCGCGGGTCATGACGTCGGGACAATCAGGAATATGCTATCCTTTCTCATGAAGCAGCTGGTGGCAACTCGACCGCTGAGACCCATGAGGGAGATTGCATGACCTCAGAATCAAGCATGCATGGTGAGATCTACAAACATCTTCGCGTGTACATGACCGCGAATATGTTTGACTGATGACTTCAAGAAGGTTAAAAAAACCCTAAGTGTCCGATACGACGTTGCAGATGCAGGGCTCGACACTAGACGAAATAATCGAGGGCTCCTACAGTGCTTATGTAAAATTCCGATTCTCTGGGGAGATGGATAATGTCTATCCTCATAACTAGGATGCACTACCCTTAACATGAACAAGTATCCAGTCATTTTGCCTTTGTCTGATTCTAGCAGCTATTGCTTATCGTCTCCTTGGGAATATCCACATCTTGAATGCTGCCAGCATTCAGTGAGCGTTCCCGTACTGAAAAAACATCTCACAGCTCATCCATATTCTTGTCCAGTACCAGCAATTTTTGCAGGTCCGCTATGATATTCTGTCGTGAGACGTTCTGTTGTATATTGAGACGCAGTGTCCGGACATCTTCGCCCGTACCGTCTCGTAAAACTTGCAGTAACAATTCGAGGATAGTGGAGAGATCGTTGGCCAGGTTCTCCGTGCGCTTTTTGAATAATTTGCGACGTCTATCCTCCGAAGGCTTGAAATGACAGACAAGATTGAATGAGGCTCATTCATTGCACGTCTTTCCGCCGGCACACTGGGATTATTTAGTATTCTCCAGGTACATCGTCGGATTAATGATCACCTTTTTCCTCTTTTTCTGGCATGCAATGCAAGCCAAGCTCACGCGCTTTCGGTTCTCATTCAGACTTGAGGAACCGTCCCTCCACTGATGGGGCTCGTGAGTAGAAAGTTGAGTGGGAAGTAAAGGTCTTAACGACATAAGTGCTAGGCCTGGACGCTTCGCGTATCTTCTCTGGTAATATGTATGGTGTCCGTGGGACGACTGATGGAATAAGACCGCATCAATTAGATGAGATGAATGACATTGAGAATTAGGAGTCACCTCGTTTCGTTCTATTATTTATTCCTGGGAATAGAGGGGCGTGTGATACAAACTTGTTTGCTAGCGAGCCTAACAAAGAAATACAAGTTTCAACGCACTATTAGTGCCACATACTAATAGTACAATATGGTCCCTGCCCAAATCACAAGAAATAAACAAGATCGGTTTTCCCATCAGCAACACCCTGTTTCCTCCATGCAGGGGTAGATGGTGCCATTTTGAGTGTGATCAAGGATCTTCCGGTCGCATGAAGGCCTCAAACGAAGCAGGGCATACAATCCGACGCCCGCCAAGATATCTAGGGTAAAACCCGTGGAGACACGGACTGCCTAGGCAATATGTTTAATAATAATCTGCCATAGAGAGATTTTGAAGAGTACAAGGGAGCTTCTTGAGTTCCAGCTTGCGTGCTGCGAATTTCTTGCGAGCTTTCCATTCACGAGTGTAATCCGGAAAGAGTCATGTTGCACAAGCTGTTCGGATTGGCCTTTCTTTGGTCCCGACTGCTCTTGCGGACCGCTCTTCGGTAACGTTGATTGCGCTCTCTTCTAAAGTGAAATTAGTTTGTGTGTGCCTACAATGGAGGTATGGACTGGCCATAGAGCAGAGACGTGCCATCAGGCTTAGTTTCAACAGGCTCAAGGGAGAAGCTCATGGGGGTTGTTTCAGTTAGCTCTGTGATTTATTTTGTTGATTTATGGTTATAGACTGCATAGAGGGAGGAAACCTTGGTTATATATTGAGGAGTACACCACGGTTTTGATACCGACCGCAAAGGCCACAACACCACGGTTTCACAAACTCCACGCTTCGGTGATTATGCCACGGTTTTCTATTTTGAAGATCAAGGTAGTGGCGGGTCAGTGAATTGGTCATGGACCGTACCCACAATATAGATATTCTAACACCAATCCCAGAGTTTAAAGAATTAAAGAGGTATGACTTTGCATTCCAGAAGGAAATATTGTATTGCTCTGCTTAGCTTAAGGACTATGGCAGTCTTATGTACAGTATCTGTTTCGACCCTGATTCTGCAAGAATTGCAAGACCCAGCATAGCATCAGTTCCTAGTTCTAAATCCCCCCATTCATCCAATCCCTTTCTCACTCGCTTCGCACTCACGAAATACTAGTATTCTGACTCAACATCGCTATTCTCGTGCATCACGGTTGGAATTGAGGGACCGCCGAATTGGCCCAGCACGGGCTTTTGCATGATAGGTTGGGGCTGCATGAAGCCATAAGGACTTCCCATGTAGGGGAATTGGCCGTACGGCTGTTGGCCCGAGAAGCCGCTGAACTGCTGGTGCTGTGGCATGAAGCCCATCGCTTGTTGCGGCATAAAAGGAGGCTTCTGGTATTGCGCCTGAGCCATCGCAGGCTCGAAAGATTCCGTTGGGTTCATAAAAGACTGAACTGGGGCCCGCTTTGGCTTGGAACGTGGCTTTTGGAACCACAAAGGTTCTGGTTCTCCCCATTGAAGAGACTGGCGCTGCTCAAAACAGCCAAGATGTGTGTATCCAGATTGCCAGGGCGCTGCCTGGGCTGCTGGTGGTTCCATATGATATTTGGTAAGTGGAGCCGCAAGTGATGTCTGGCACATTAGCACCTCTCGTAGTGTCATACTGGGGTGTCCAACGATTCCTTCGACGATCATTCGATCGGCTGCCTTTGGTGACAGGATCTATGCAAGGTTTGATCTCGAAATGGCCTCGTTGATCTCGGTAACTCCGTCCGAATGGTGGAACCCGACAACTATGAATGGCAGTCGTTCCTTGGTAACGTCCAACTCACCAATCGCAACGAAGAAACACCCATATTCACCGCCATTTCTAACTCGCTCTTTATATCTTTGGATCTCTGCCTCTCGCTGAACTGTGAAAGGCACACCTTTCGCTACTGCACCTTCGAGGGCGAGGACTCCACCGGCGGCTGCGCTGCTCACCAGTGGATAGGAACCATCGGCACCCTCAACGACAAAATTCGCCCTTTTCTCGCCTAGTTTCTGAATGTAGCGTATCGGCTCCCCGGTGGCCGTCATTCCGGGCTCAATGCGGCGTTTCACCACTCTTGGACGAACGCTGGTCACCTTGAGTTGTCCGCCAGGAGCGGCAGGAGCGCTCATAGCTCGAGAATTCGCTCCTGGATGTCCATTCATCTGCGTGCTGGACGGTGGCTGTGGCTGAGAACTGATTGACGGGTTGGCCGCGGGGTGAGGAGTTGTTGAAGGTACCTTATTTGTGGGTGGCGAGGCCCAGTGAGCTGATTCTAGGGCTGGTGGCATCCATTCACTTGGATACATTCCATTCTCATTTGCCTGCTTAATCTCATTCATTTTCTGGTCATAGCTGGAGCGATCTCGCATCTTCGCAAAGCTCGCGAGCTCTTCAAGAAGACGGATAGAATCTGCCAATGTGGCTCTTTTGTCTGCGCGTTTTCCTATTTAGGCCTCACTCAGTTGGGAGAGCTCTGCGTAGAAGGAGTCCAGGTTTTTCTTGAACGTCGCGTCGTAATCCGCAGATTTGACCTGCAGGGAATTTGCATACCACACTTGAAGCTCTTTTGCAAAAGCGGAAGTCAAGGCATACCACCAATTCTCTGATGTGAAGTAGCGGGGGCTATCGGCAGGAGGCATATAGTGCAAGTCGGATCTCGATCCTTTCGTGGTCGGTGCTCTTCATGAACCAACGTAGATCTCTCCATAGGCGATTCGACAGATGGTATGCCCCCATGGCTTGCCGTTCCTTTTGAACTGACGGACGGTCACGGGTAATGAGGACGCCATAGATAGTGAGGATCTCATCCAGATCCGAGAAGCTGTGGATATCCCGCTGGGTAGCAATGCCTTTAAGCAATTCGATCTGTTTTCCAGCCTCGAAGAGCTTCAAGCTCAAGGATTCGAAAAGAGAGCTTGTATCCATCGTCGAAAGAACGCCGGGATTAAGATCAAAGACTTCGCAGATTGCCCTGGGCCCTTTCAAGTCTAGACCTATTGCAAGATGAGTTGCCAGATCCAGATAGGCCTCGCGAAAGACGGATCGTAATGCTGGATAATCTACAGCCCTGCTGGCAGACGCCCTGTGCAGGAAAGTGCATATGACCGGGGCAGTATCCCTGGGAATATTCGGTCCGGTCTTCTGTAGATATTCATCCCAGGAGCTCCAGTTGCCGTAGAAGTAGGCCAGGATTTGACCGACGGCGTAAAGGTCATCCTGCGCGGCGGCCGATTGGGCGGACTGGGTGTCGAAATCCACCAGGAGAGCTCGTTGTGACTGCCAGCCAGTGCTGCCGAGGGCAAAAGACCACGAATCCAAGCTCCCATAATAAATGTTCCTGGAGTGGATAAATTCCACACGTGCGAGCATCTGCTCAGCAAACAGAAGAAGGGTGCGCATGCCGAAGTAACGACCCGACTTCGTGAAGAGTTCTTCCAAGGTTGGTCCCACTGTATCCATTATCATCACTTCCTTGTCGTTCACTGTCTCAAACCAATGCAATACAGGTATTCCAACCCCCCCCTGCAGCAGCTTGAAGGGTATGCGCTTGGTGTGCTATGCTACCGAACCACGATATTCTCACACTTGCATCCTCCAGGGTAAGACCATGTTTTCCTACACCCAGTCAGTCTCGTTGCCTCTCTATTTGACGTAGAAGTCAGGATGCTTACCGTGGCTGTACATGCCTGGCTGATCCGGCCAGCGCATTATCTGAAATGGGCCTACCCATTGACAGTGTGACTGAGATTCCATTGTAGGGTGTGGTTGACTCTGATCTTCCTGTGGGACGTATAACAAACGTATATCCATAACAAGTAGCCCCAGCCATAGCGATTTCAAATATCCGTATAAAAGCCATGGTTTCAGTGTCTATTTTCATGGCTGTCGATTTGTCGCATGGTGCCGCCGGGTTTCGTTTAAACTCGGATATAGCGCCTACCCCGGCATCCACCTGCCTGAGAACGGCCACGGTCATTCTATTTGACTACCGTGGCGTGTCATATGGCACCCGGCAGATTAATGACAGAGTGGCTACGTGCGCATTCTAGGTAGCATCCTCCGCACCGTCATGGCAGCTACGGATCTAGATGTTGCACAGCAATTACAGGGCGCGCTGGTCGGTTCACTGAGAGTCTCTCTATTTGAATCGCTACGTTTTGATGGTTTGGACGTCTGCGGTTCACGAACCCTCAACCAAGGCAATGTCCGTCGTTTGATCCATCGCTTTGACCAGGAAGGCTGTCGCAGGTTGGATCCTCTAACATGGATTCCTGCAGAGATAACACCTCCTGATCTTAAGCGGATAAAAATGGCTACAAATTCGCTGAGTAAATTGTCTTTGGAAAACCCAGCAAGCATCAGGTTACCTCCTGATAGTATTATACACTGTTTCCAAGGTCAACACCGACTTTCGGCCGCCGCCAAGTGGCTCAACCCGAGCGAACAATGGTGGATTCTATATCTCTACGACGCAACGAAATAGACACCGGCCGCGCGGAAAAAACTGCGCGAGGCTGAGACAAGCGCTCAGGAATTCTGCGACGGGGATATATTCCGTAGCGTGCGATACTATCAGAGGCGTGGTGAGACAGAAGCTGCTGGGGAGTGGCTGGCAAAGTGGTCGCCCTGGAAATGCCGTGATTTCAAGCAAATATATGAACCCAAAATTGACAACCACCGAGAATTCCGCGAAAGTCTTGATAGCCTTTTAGAATTCTCTCCCCTTTGCAGCGCCTGGCTTATGGGTCTGCATTTACTCAGTCTGAAAATTCCAGAGGCGAGGACAACCCAGAGTGGAGAGGTGGCCGTCATAGGGAACCAGTGCTTACCATCGAAGGAGTTTGCGGCCTGTCTTAATCGCATCTATTCCGCATGGGCCAGCCTTACTTGCCATCAGCCACAACTGCTAGACGTTGAAACTGTCGAGCAACTTGAAGGACGATGTCCATCTCTGTCGCAGTCGACCGCTCGCACATAAACCATGTGTTTGACCAGAATATTGTGTTCACCTCGTGTGCGGACATCCAGCTCCGGTCAGAACTCAAGCAGGCCGCCCTAGAGTATACCGGGATTATCCCGTCTCTACGGTTGTTCCTTGAGAACGTCAAATACATTAGACCGCTAGTTTACTCTATTAAACGACTCCTGCCCCCGAGATTCAACAGAACAATTCGTCAGACGATGCGTCGGTACTATGTTCGCCCCCAGAACAACCGCTTTCCGGTACAGATGTCCGACAACCATGTCGAAGAAAGGCCACATCCAAACGACGACTATGGGTTTTGGTCCGCCTATCGTCAGGTGTTTCTGTTTGCGATGCGTCACTTCTATGGTCTTTCAGACGCTCACCCACTTGGTCATAATCGTCACTCACGATCGCGCCAGGTGCCCGATTCCCGGAGTCTATGGATGCAGTTTAGAGAGCTCACTCGTAGGGTCGGGTTCGTCCTGCCTGGCTCTCTCACGCCCACTAGACCTTCTCTGTATAGCCCAGAGTTTATGGCCATCTATAATCTATTGACGCGCCTGCGACCACAAGCGCTCTTTGAGTATGACCCGTCTATCCTTACACAATGCAGCACCCAGGTGGTCAGAGTGCTTCAGAAGATAAGGCAGCGGCGGGTCCAAAGGAAGTCCCCTGCTCTCACTATAAATATCCAGGAACGCTGGTCACTGGACAGACGATGTGGCATGACTGATATTCGAGGTTTCTTCTTGGATCAGGAATATCCATTCCTTCAGCATATCTACTACCCTCAAAGCACCGTTCAAGGTCACGATTTGTCAACATTCGCTGTGAAGAGAGACATGTTTCTGTCCGTTTTTCCGGAATTTCCAGACGATCTTGACATGGCAGAACCCATACCTGATCGCTTGGTCAACCCAGGGACGGGAACTGAAGCGCCTCTACCAAACGAGACGGTTGGAAATGGGACAATGACGATTGCGGTCCAGGATGATACAGCCATGAGTGACGAACCTCTGATGCCAACTGAAAGTCAGTCAGCAACAGAGCAACGTCAGAATGTGTCGCCTCTTCCGGTACACGTCCTGCCGTCGTTGACCAATGAGGTTGGAAACACGGACGCACTCGTGCCTTCTAATCAGGTGCCTGATCTATCCCAGAACCTGGTGCTGTTCGACAATACACCTGGGACTATTGGAGCCAAAATTCATGACAGCCCTGCTTCAAGTAGTTATGCCCTTGACTCTATCAAATGGCAGACCCTGGATGCATATACTTTTTCCACCACGCTATCTCCAGGAAGGTTGTATACACTCTTCCGCGGATGAGCACAAGAGAGTGTTCCTTACGGCATATTTTACAACATAGATATGAAAGACATACTTTGTCTTTTATGTTCAAGTGTGGAAAATCTCCCCAACCTACTCCCTGAACTAGGGAAGTATTGGTTCACAAAGGCCACTGAAGTGTCTGAAGCCCGCTCGTCCCTTAAGCTTCTGCCAGTGGAGCACGTTGTGTCCCTTCTGAAACAAGGACCAGACCTCTTTTTCTTGGGGGCGTGGGGGGCCGGATACAACTCAGGTATATTAAACATCGATAGGGCTGTTGGCACAACAGAACATCTTGTATTGCCACAATTCAATAGCGTCGAAAAGGGATGGGAGTTAAATGCGCTGAAAAGAATAAGTTAAGATTTAAGGCCAGCAGTTACATCTTTTTGACTGCACGCCCGTTACCATAATATTATAATATTCCCTCTTCTCAAACATATTACTCTCCCCAAATTTACCTTGCTGCAGGTGGTATGCAAGGCAGAAAGCATGGCACCGGACCCAGTCTGCCAGGATCTCCGGCCAGATAGTATACTCGGGAGTCCTACTGAAGCAGGCAGATTTGGTCAAGGAGGGGCTCCACCAAAAACAGTCGCCTCGTCCAAAGGTCTCCGCGCCTTGTATACACGCAAGGTGTAGAAAAGGTTTCTGCTTGGATCAAGAGCTTCTGCTACCGCAGCAGTCGCGAGCGACTGGATATCGTCATATGACCAGCCATACACACGGCTGAAGGGCGCCATACAGAGTGGCAGGATACTCTCGGCAAAGGCTGTCCTGTACCATTGGACAGATGTCTTATCGTCGATGGGCAGCATCCACGGGTTCAGGGGTAGCACAAATTCTTCACAGCTGATCTGGTGAAACGCAGCATCCCCCAGCCACCACCGTACTTGTCCTGGGCAATGCTCGATCTCCCTCTGGGTTTGTTCTGTCGCGGCCTTCAGGTTGTAGTACCAAAACCGGAGCGGGCCGAATCCCAGTAGTTGACCGAAGTAAAGAGGCTCAAAATTACCTCGAGCTGTTCAAACCAAGCACCGCGGTGTAGACGGTCGTATATCCTCTTGTAAAGACTTGGCCAATTGGTGACGCTGCCGCACCCCATTCGCATATAGATAACATCCCATTTTCCTTCTCCCAGTAACCAAGGACGCTCATAGTCAAAAGAGACCCTGAAGTCACAATTTGGCGGAGGAGATTCTGGCTGGATTGCAGACACGTCGACCCCCAGAACGTAGGCACTCGGATATGCTTTCGCAATTTCAATCGCCCAGATTCCGGTCCCACACCCTAGATCTAAGAAGCGACCATTTCAGGATGGGGGACGTGAATCGGTCGGTCGGAGCGCAGCGCTTTCATCACCATGGTATGGATGAAATCCAGACGGTCCTTCTCGAGTTCATCGCATGGTAGCATGTAGCTCCCAGTTCCTTGTCCCTGATATATACGACCATTCTCTTGGATTGCCGTTCGTATCTGGTGGGCGCTGCCCCGTGTGTCCTTGGCTAGGAACTCCGCCCCTTCCTTATTGTAAACGTTGGCAACCAGGGAGAGGATGCCGCTGGAGTCGCAGACGACCTTCAGGGGCCGATTGTCGGGGAACGCATTTCCAAGCACATCCCTATCTGAGTCGGATGCTGTCTTCCGGTTGCCATTTTGGCTATGGTAGCCCAACAACAAAGCGGATATTAAGCGATTGCGCCTCAAGTTTGACTCCCGCTTTCTTCTACCCGACCGATATCTTGGATGAGGCGCATGGTGTAAGCTATTCTGGTCGCACATTCCTAGGTCGGTTGGTAAGGATATCGAACAAATTAGAGGTGATATGGCAGAGAAGTACTCTTTTTTGGCCGTCCGTGTAAGACTCGATTATCGAAGCGTCCGAACTAGCAGGCTTTGCGAGCAAAAGACGCCCATCAGATAATGGCGCGGGAAGAAGAGCCGTTCTTGCATGTGTAAGGAAAAAAAGCCGGATATGCCTAATTGGAACCTCAGTTGGTTCCCCTCGCTCAAATATATTCCCTAAAGAGGGGAATCAGGAGAATGAATCATACCAGAGCTTCCCTTTGTCCCGAAAGGCAAGCGGCTACACGATGCTCTTAAGCTCGGCCCAGGAATGTAGCCTTTTTTAGGAATACCGAGGGAGGGCAAATCGAAACTCCTCTAGTTCAAACTATGTGGAGTAAGCTAGACAGACCGTGCTCCAAGGTACCTCACGATACTTGAATCGTCAGTCTCAAATTCTTGCAATCTACCGAGGACAAGAGTATCAAGTTGACCAGCGGAAATAAGACTTAATCCGAACATATTGGTGCGAAATCAAAAACCAATCACGTCTAAACGTAAGGTGTAGACGTTGATGGCACAGTCTTGTAATGACTAGGACATCGATTAAAACACTATCGGCAGCAGCTAATTGCTGACATCCCCAACAAGTGTACTTCTGGCGTAGCCTTGGTCCTGCAGCAATAAAGAGCGCAAGCCAATCAGATGCCTTGTAGGACACATAATACAGTCCAGACACATTGAAAAACATAAATAGACAGCGAATATGCTCTGGCTATGTAATCCGAACACGGTGAGCTTCCCCTCGTGGCGCCCAGAAACCATCCGTTTCGTGAGGAGGTTGATACTCGGATTCTTTAGATCCACATCGTCGTCTGAAGCTAGAACTGAACTCCTCACTTCATCACGCGTCTCTGGATCAGCGGACACTAAAGTGGATGTTGGTGAGACTCACTCTTAACCAGGAATGGCTACTTACCACTAATCAGTAACCGACCGGTGCAAGATGACCTTTCCTCCTCGAGGATTGATTTAAGATCAGGCTTTCGGTAGTAGACGGTCCCTCGGCGGTCAACGTGAACTTTTTCAGAATTGTGAGATACAGTCTTCTCACTGCGAAGGATAAAGAGCGAGTGTCTGAGCGCCTGAGGTGCGTGAGCTAGTTTATTTCAACAGAATGGTTTGACCTATCATTGCTTTATCTTCATCGAGAAGCTTGTCCATCCAGTCACAGATACAGTCTTCGTGGTCTGTCCTCTGTCAGTTCAGCCTTGAACCAGGGATGATGTGAGCTGGTACACTTTTCTTCGATCTGCCATATCAGTGTCATCCTTCTGGTATTACGAACTGGTAAAGTCTTGTGTTCCCCTTGCAAGGCACTTTCGACAAATGTCTTCACGTAAGATAACTGTCCGGCAATCCCGATGCCCGTTGCAACGATGATGATGGAGCTATATCCGTGTATATAGCCTTCCTGGAATGTTCAAGGCACCAACGCACAGCGCGGAAAGACCACGCACAACCATGGTCTTTCCGCCGTGACCGACAATTACTCCGTATCGTATATAGTGTCTCCCGAAGCAGTGCGTCTTCGTGCGCCACTACCGAGGAACACAATCTGATGGGTTTATATCATGATTCATGACCAGTGCTCTAGGAATGGTCGAATCTCCTTTGTCCGATTCGACGCGGACTTGTCTGAATCCTGCTGGAACTGCTATCTATGCCTGTCTTCGATTTTATCTGTAGAATTTATGAGATACGGTCTTATTCGTGGATTCCACACAATACCTTTGTAATAATTCCTTTGACTAGTAATGTATCTTGCGCTTATGACAAATTGAACCTGTACCCTCAGTGAAATCCCGAGAATACAAGGTTTCTAGCCAGCTCAAAGGTAGCCTCGTCCTTGCGGACATGTATCTTCGTCAATTCCTCTTTCAACTCGAGAGCTTCTTTCAGATCCATGTGTGATCCAGAGCCATCGATCCATTTCGGTTGTTGTGGGGGAACATTTCGCGTCGAGCAAATGCGGTACGTGGGATCGACAAGACTGAGAGTAAGGAAACGACAGTGTCCTGGCTTAGTCTTGTCCTGAAGCTCTAGCGGACTCATTCGGTGTTGAAAGGCATTGGGGAAAGAAATCAAGCGACCTGGAGGCATTCTCACTTTCCCTAGCTCCTGCCACGCAGGCGCATTCTGAATTGTTTCAAATCCAAACAGCCTTCCTATATACTTCACATCCCAGCACGCATACTTCTCTTCACGGTCTGGCTCATATATCCAGGAGTCCTCGTCATCATTATCTTCTGGACGGTCGAAATCACTTTCATCGTCATCGGGATCGTCACCTGCGCCGATCTTGTCATAAACATATCGTTGACTGTCGTGCCAGAGCCGCTGTCGGAATGAAACCTGCGGCTCCGTAATATTGTCAAAGTCGAACGCGTAAATAGCATTAGCAACTATATGCTCATTTGCATTTCCTTCAGTATGCCAGTCATCGCCAGAAAATGATGGGATATCAGGCTCTAGCTCAATACTGTGGAGCTTGGCCACAACTTGGAGGCCTTTGTCTCGAAACTCGTCCTGCAATGTAACCGTGTAGAATTGATGGTCATCGTCCTTTTTGCCTTTTGGCTCAAAGGCCCAGCGGTGGGGTTTCAGCCAAGGGTGAGACAGAAGGAACTGCCCCGTTCCAAACGTCCGGCCCCAGTGTTCCTGATCGGCAGGACCTATTATGGCCTCTCCAGTCCGCCCTGATTTCCAGTCTTCGTAGGAATAGGCAGTACCCGGGTCCGAGTGCTCAAAGAAGAACATACGGGCATACTTGGTCAATGCAGTGCGCTGCAGTCCCCATCGTGCTTTCCAATCTTCTGGAATCCTTTGCGTATGAACCAGACACCAATGGACCTTATCCTCGGATTCGGGTTCCTTCAGATATTCCTCTACTTGGGCGCACATCTTGTTGTATTGCTCAACAGATAGCTGGTCTTCCTTGGACTGCTCTGGGAGCTTCTTCGCCCACTCCGGATATTTCATTTTCCAGTCCACCCCGTACGTTCGAATTCGTATCGGCTCACGAGGAGAAGGTTTGCAAGAGGGTCTGTATCCAAGCTGTTCAGTCCATTTTGCACGAATCAGTATCTCATTCCACTGCTTGATACTGCTGGTAAGGACTGCCTCAATTGCTGAATACACGATTCGGTTCATGGGATGGAGATTGTTGATGTAGGAACTAATTCGAACGTCGGTGGACCCAGGAGGCCCATTGAATTCCACTTCGCAAGGCAGCCACTGAAATCTGGTTGACCAGATGCAGTTCAATCGCAGGTGTTCCCAGGCCCCTTCTTGAGCAAACAGCGGTCGCTCTGGTGCGATTTGGCTGTCTTGAAGGCGTGCCGACCAAGAACCTTGGTCCATTCCGCACGGTTGTCCACCAACTAAGACCATCGTCCTCCCGTAAACAAGGGGAAACAGAGACGGATCAACCACATTTACCACCACTGGCTTCTGCATGTTTAGGGATTGAGTCTGTTCGCCTAAATCCTGAATCAAAGAAACCGTGGCATCTCGTAGCTGTGCCTGTGTTGTCGCAGGGATCGCCGTATCAGATTTACAGATACCACTGCCGGTGTTGAATACTAGCACGTGCCCTTGCTTTTCAAAGTTTCTTGCCTTGTCTTGCAATTCTTTGAGGCACCAGCTCCACGTCTGGTCGTTGATTAGCGACAACGATGACAGCGCATCTTTTTGCCAGCGAGTGATTTCTTCCTGCTGAAAAATCCGCACATGCCAGTCCGGTCTTTCGGTAATAGTATTGATCAAGTTCAACATGGCTAGCTCTTTTGCAGTAAGTATGGTACCTCGCCAAACATTGATCCCCGCTGCAAATTGATCCCGTGGAAGCTCGACATCTATGGGAATGTCGTGAAAGCCTGGAACTTTCAACGGGCCAGCTGTATTATCAAGGACGATTTCTGGCATCAGCAAACGACTGGTGTGAATCAGAAAAGTGATGGGGTGCAACGCTTGGAGTGCTGAGTTGAGTAAGGTATTAATGCGACTAAGCTCATTGATTTAAATAAATGCTGCACGAGTCCCAACGGGAGCATATGGGGTAAAGAGCAACCGGATTAACTCCGTTAGTTCGTATTGATACCCCTGCTAGCACGGTATTTGCTGTTATAGTTCGGATCTTACCAGTTCTAGCTAATTGGACGCACAGTCCGAGGAATTGGTGGAGGTGCCTAGAGCACAGACATAACTCCATCCGCCAACAGGTGGGGAATATTGCCAAAGATATTGTCCATATGCTGTACCTAGTCACGCACGATGTACTCCGTGGGTCTTGTTGCGGCTCAATGTGTCGCTGGCTTTTCAGTTTCTCATCCTGGCTTATACTCTTTTACAATCTTTCGATCACTGTGCCTTTCAGCATACTTTCTTCGGCAGGAAAGACACTCAGATAGTTTAACCCGCCTGATCTAGGATTGTTTACTTTTGGTTCAATTGATTTGGTCATAATATGTATCGAGCAGGATCGTGCTCAACCGATTGGTACAAGGATAAAATCGCCAGAAGAGCAAAGGCTTAAGCCATAACACTGCCATCCGCGGTTCCTTCAATAATGCAAATCGCACCGATATTATTCTACTGTCGGCAGCATTTGATACCGTGACATCATATGCGCAACTCCTGACAGGTTGGAAACATACACTGTATGCACATCAACTTGCATGCTGCCTTTAAGTATGTACATATTGCCCCATTCAGCTGCTATCATACAAGGGCTAGCTCAAGATGAAAAAACACCATCCTCTATGTCACAGAAGAGATCCACCATATTTATTCCATCATCCATGGAGTCCCATAGCCTTACTAGAGCATAAATTGAGCATTTCATCCACCCTTCATATTCTTCCACTCCTTCTGTTTCCTCTGGATCTGGGAATGCCTCAACAACCTTAACGTACCACTTCTGGATTTCCTCCACACAATATATGCCATGCATTTCTGCATGCTCCTCAGCTGATGGCACCTCACTAAGTAGCTGAAGAATCTCCTCATCAATTACCATGCAAACACGATATTTGTTCCACATGTCTTTCTGCCCCTGCCCTTCCACCCACGATTGGAAATGGGAACGAACGTCCTCAATCGTCGCGCCGTTAAATGTTTGAGAATCTTCCATAATAGTTAGGCGGTGACAAGCCCATAGCTCATTATTAGGTGTGGGATCTGGATCTTGGACACCAGAGTAGCGGAGGTCTTGGTAGACTTCTCGCTTAATCCAGGAATTAATGATGTCGATTGCCTTGCAGAATGCTGGGTCGGATTTATACGTAGTGCGGTAGACAACCCAACCCCATGATTCTTGACGCATATCAGCAAGCATTCGACGGGATAGGCGGTTCCTATCTAGCAGGGTCTGATCTCGAAGAGGTACAGGGAACATGATGATTTTGGAATGAGAAAGATATAGTCAGGGGGTGAGGACTAATAGGAAGGCGGCTGAGCTAACAATTGGTTAAGCCAGGGTACTACCTGATTGTAGCGGGCGGTACATCCCTTTCTCTGCTCGCTAGCTTACTGTGTCTAGAATTGAAATTACTCCTTCGTTAGTGAGGTACCGTATCATTACGCCCTGGTGTTTGGGATACTACCAGATGTCTCCTTCTGATTGGCTACACTAGTTATGTGAAAAGCCAAGCAGCTTGGCAAGGAGAAAAAGGAGAACGAGGAGGAAGAGCTAATCATGAACATCGTCACCGCGGTCTTGTCAGTCGTGCCGTTCGACGGTTCAATTATCGGAAGAATCGCGGGCATCGCTTGGATGACCCAGGCAGTCATCGTGGTGGAGCTTGTCGGAAGCACAGCACTGGGCGTGTACGATGTCGTCAAACATGAGGGAAACCCGGCAATGGCGGTGCTGGGCTTGCTTCTGGTTGCTGCTGGCGCCAGGACCGGAAGGAACTATGCCTCTGCTGCCATCAAGCGTCGGGAAATCGGTGCCTCGGATATTGCCAAGCTGGGAGACTTGTTCAAGCGCCACGACGGTGCGTTTCGGAAGCTGATCCCCGCCAACCGGTTCTGTACGCCTTGAGCTGCGACTCTGTGCGCGCGACGCAGTGTATATAAAATGTAGATGTTGCTTAGTAGAGACCTGCCGCTTGACGCGCAGGATCTACATCGCCTTCTTGCAGTAGATCACTGCCAGTGAGATTGTGCTAATTAACTGAAATTAGAGCTCTAGCTGTAGATGCCTCAAGGCTCCATGTCTACATCTTGGGGAACCATACGCAGGTGTGGAGAGAGGATATTATTCGAGTATACCTATTTCATGTCTGGATCAATCCAAAGCAAAACACCTCTCCACCGAATCCGGGTTATTCCCCCACCAATGCGGCATGGAGATCTGCCTCCCCGACCCAAAGAACAAGAAAATCAACAGCATGTTGAGGTTAAACCCGGCATCGAACGCCGCCGCAATCATATAGCTGTACCGCTTCCACACCTCGAACCGCTTACGATACGCCCAGTACATCACAACATACCCCCCGATGAAAGCAGAAGTGTACCCCGTACTCACATTTCCGTAGAACACCGACAGCCCGGAGAAGAAGATACTCACGTTCCAGAGATCGATGCGCCAGCGTGGCAGGAGTCGATGCAACACATACAACACGGGCGGGAGCACCGCACCCAGCAGAAACGACCAGGGGAGCGGCTTCATCTCGCTTTCCTTGAACAGCTCGCGGGGCCCGATGACGGCGTACTGCACGCCGAGGGTATTCGACGTGATCAGCGACTGGCCGGTCCACTGGTGCAGCGGGTCGGGCTTGGCGCCAGTGAGAACGTCGCGCTTTGTGGTCAGGACCCAGCGCATGACGGCGTAATTCATTGGGATGCCGAGGAGGGTGCCGAAGACCTGCGAGAAGAAGACGGCGCGCGGGGGGATGTGCATGTAGTGGCCGATTTTCTGGTCCTGCAGCATGTATTGCGCGCGGTACCAGGCGTCGCCGGCAATGGAGCCGTAGGTGGAGGGCCCGCAGGGGTGTCGGTGGCCTTCGCCGGCCTTGGTGTGCACCATGTAGCCGTACATGAGCTCGTTGAAGGAGCCGACGGCGAGCTGGTAGTTGGAGATGGCATAGAGGAAGGCGAAGGGGAGGACGAGGGCCGCGGCGCTGCCGAGGGCAACGAAGAGGGTCCAGATGGGGATCCAGAGGTGACCGCAGGCGAGGGAGACGAGGAGGATTATAAAGCCGGCCATGAAGAGCGCAAAGTACCACCAGAGCGGGACTTCCTTGTAGGATCGCTGGAGGACGTTGAGACGGTCGTGGTACTGGTGGTTGATGCCTTCGCCTTTGCTCTGGGATGATTTATTCCGGGAGCGGACCATCTTGAGTAAATTTCTTTTGACTTGGGTGTAGCCAAATGTGGCGATCCATGCCACCGACGCCGTGACCTTGGCATAGTCAAAGAATGTGGCCCAGACGTTCTGGAGACCCATGTACATGGGGCCTATTTCCTCGTATGCCGTTTGGTTCAGACGAAAGTCGGATGTCAGGAGATGCAGGGTGGGATATTTGGTGCCATTGGTCGTGAGTAGAGAATTCGACATCAGTCCGTGCTTGTATGAGCCCAGGTTTCCCCATTTTGCCGCTGGGAGAAGCACCCAGCAGTTGAACGCGAATGCCAGGAACAACACCACCTGCGTCCACCAGGGAGTAAGCAGAATCGATGAGCCGTTCCAGTTGATGTTGGACCAATCCAGGGAGAGATTCAAGAACCCCATTCCGCCCAGGCCCGATCCAATAAAGTTGGCGACGGGGTTACGGGGGGCAACCCAGCAGAGAAAGGCAAGCGACGAGGTGAAGGGAAACACATACTCGGGCAGAAACTGCCAAAGCGTCATCCCCAGGAGAGAAAAGAAAAAGACCTTCATCTGTCGCCTGGCTAAAGGAGAAGCGGTGTCTTGCTTGCGGAATGTCTCGAACAGTGTGGTTTGCATCAGTGCCTGGGGCCAAATGAAAGAAGGATCGTACAGTAAGATCTGGCGTGCAATCGCAGCAAAGGCATATCCAATCCAGACAATCGCAAACATGAAGAAGATCGCCACGGCAGGGTTCACTGTTTCTCCATAAAACAATTCAGCTAGAGAGATCGGAGCGTAGCCCAGATTGTAGGTAGCCCCGGATGCCGCCGTCAAGGTGACGAGCACATGCTCCTTGATACTCCACGGCCCAGGATTGAGACTGAATGCCCATTTTGTCAGTGGGATCCGGATAGTCCAGGCAGGGAGCCACCGGGCGAGAAAATGGCCGACATAGTGACAGGCAATCTGCACGAAGAAGACGGAATATGGCGCTTGTGTTGTACGGTAATGGCTCATCTGCGACAGGAAAGCTCCTGGGACGACAAAGATGACGGAGAGGAGGAAATAGCGAAAGGTGATGGTGGGCAGAGTAGGATCGTCTGTGAGGCTGACTAGTTGGCGCACCTCGAGCGGAAGTGCTGCAATCTCTGGATCCTGTTCCGTTTCTTGCTCGATGGCAGCTGTTTCGCTGACCGGCTGGATTTTTTCCGCATCATCCACGGGCGTTGCAGTTGCGGGGGCTGTTTTGGGTTCATTACTGCCGGCCGGGGAGAAACTCGAGGTGTCGCCGGTGCCATTGCCTGCTCTTCGCTTTCGGTTGAAAACCGTCAGACGGCCCATTTTGATAGTCGTCTACCAGAGTAAGAGTATTTCGACAGGAAAGTGGCGCGGGACATGTTGGAAGTTGAACTATTTAAGTGCCCCTTGCGTCTCGATTTTAGCCCATAAGGCGTGATCGGCTGGTTATCTACCGCAAGCAGCGCTATTAGTCAAAGCACTGCAGTTTTGCACATACTAAGCCTGCTCTTGTATGAATTGGGATATGGCCTCATTTCTAGCTATCAAGATTTATGCTTGTACCTCCGAGCATGGATGCTGATTGGGCAATTCGAATCTTAGCGTCTGGCGCATGTGGAGTAACAATGTGCACTTTTCACTCTAGCGGATGGCGTTATCGGCGAATGCTTATTCGTGATCTGTAAGACTTGGAATCCAGACGAATTAAAGACGCGATCCAACTTCTCTCGGAAGCTCTTCGCGTGGCTATCATTCCAACCGCTTTAGCAGTGGAGTCAACCCACACATTCCGGACAGCAACACCGATTATGGCCATTCCTTTCTGTCATTTATCTTGATTCTATATCTTGACATGAGTCGAAATTATATCATGTCTTAACTAGCCCGGAGCATATGACTGTTAGCCATCGTACATCTCCAGACTGGAGAACATTCATAAAGTTTTCAATTGATACAGGAACTCCACATTAGGCTGCATCAGGCCCAGAAGGATTCTTCAGGGGATTCGCTCCCGCCATCCAAACCATCACCCTGGTAAACTTGCCATCACCATCAACATCAAAAAAGTTGCAATTCCGCATGTCATTCTGCGTGCCGTCCATCATCTCTCCCACATAGGTCTGCTCGGTAGAAACCCTGCGATTGACTTCGTCGACAACGATGTTGGTGATCTCATGGTGCATCGTTCGGGATGACTGGATGAAGGCTGAAAACATGTTGCGGATCTCGTCGACACCAGTGACGGTGACATGGTCGGTTTGCACGGTAAAAGTGGCATCCGGCGCGAAGTGGGAGACTATACCCTCGATATCTCGGTCGTCAACGGCTTTAAAGAAGCTGGCGGGTAGGGAGGCCAGATGGTCGCGGGTCAGGGCCATTTTACTAGCTGGCAAGAGAGCTTGATAACTGTCCAAAACTCTAGATGGGAATGGAGAGTTGTGGATTATGTGGCAGATTGTTAGGATAAGTGGCTGATCAACAGTCATCCCCTCTTAGGGCTTGTCCCGGTCTTGGCAGTTGAACCCCACTATAAGTTAAGAAACTCCCAGTAAATGACACAAGACAGACACTAATAAGGTCAAATATGCACAGAAGAACTAGGAAAGCCATCTGGGCCTTTTTGATGCGTCAATCATGCTGTCACCAACTGATAGGCCTAGTATTCTTAATTTATAAGCATGAAGAGTAAAGGCTTGTAGTTAAAGGGTAACTCCTAATATTATAGGTTGTGAAGGATTTATACCTCTCAGGCTCACCCACACGACCTTATTAAGGATGGTACTCAGCTAACCACATTTTGCCACCCTTGCCATACATTCTGATAGTTTATGGGCAACACATTAAGATATATCAAAACCTTATGAGGTTACAATAAAAGTAAGGTGAGCCTGGTTTCGCCCTTATAGCTGCCTTCCACCATGGTATTAAACATCAAGGACCTCTGTATTGGCCACCTGCATGCATATCAAGTCATCAGGGGTTTATGTAAGGAAGTATGTTCACAAACGCCTATGAAGCATTACTTTGCATTGCTCACGCAAAATTATAGTAGAGCCTTTATTTCATCACTACCTTGTGCGAATAAAGAGCAGATTTGACCAATTACACAGTTGATCTTGGACGACCAGAATATCCCTAGTGTCCCGTAGAAATCTGATTATACTCTTCTTCATGCCGGTGAGAATGAAATCGAGTAGTCTTCAGTGACTCTTATAGCCATCTATACAGGTCTTCGTCGTCATCATGCTCCTTGCAGCAAGCCCAGCAATGCTTCTAAACAATGTCAGCAGTTTTCCAGGGATATAATAAGTGGTGGGCAGCAAAGTCAAGTCTTACATCAAACTGCTTTGCATGCTGCATGTGTGGAGTGTTAGCAATCTTTTTGTTCTTTCACAGTAGATTCAAGGTATTTTCTCTTCTTACCCAGCCATGAGGACAGTCAGGCTTGTCAGGGATGCAAGGTCTCCAACATATTTCACCAGGATTGTACTCGGCGACGCCATGCTGGTCCCTGCAGCAAGTCCAGCAATGCTGGTAAACAATGTCAGCAGTTTTCCAGGGATACAATAAGTAGTAGGTAAAGTCAAGTCTTACCCCAAATTCCTTTGCATGCTGCATGTGTGAAGTGTTAGCAATCTTTTTCTTCGAAGTGGACTCAAGGTATTTCCTCTTCTTACCCAGTCACGAGGGCAGCGGGGTTCATGAGGGAAGCACGTTTTCCAACATATGTCATAAGGCTCATAGTCTGTCCAAATGGCCCCAGCGCTTACTCCGGATAGAATAGCTGACGAGGCCAGAAGAACAGCGGAGAACTTCATTATGTTGATTTTGATAAGAGCTGAAGTGGGAATGATATGGTTTGATATTAGTCAATGGGAGTCACTGGAAGGAGGCTGGCCCTATTCATGGGAGAAGAAGGGCATATTTATACGCGGAAGCCATATTGCTTTGCCAAGGGTTAAGAAGTTGAGAGACTAATCATTTTGCTAGAGAAGTGACATACTGATGACCCAATAGCACCTACTCTAGATAATTGAGGCGATGTGTATAGATGGATTTAGCAACACCCAGAGCCCCTCAAAGGATGATGACCAAATGACCAATCTTCTAGACTACGGAGTTCATGCTAAATTCAAATCAATTGACTTTCCTATGAAGGTGAGTCAACCTACAATAAAGCTTTTCAGGCAACGGCTACTGGAAAGCGCAGATACCCGCCAATGGTTAGAAGAGTTTTCGAGCTGCCTAGACCCGGCTACTAGAATTAGCTTTGTTTTTTATTTTATGGGCTTATTTTCGGTTTCCAGTAAGATCTTTGGAGAAGTATTAGAGAATAAATTAGGGCTGATAATGTATGACGTCAGTGCAATAGCAGCTAACTACCTAACAAAACCACGAAGCTCACAGAGTTGAGTTTATTCAGCCGGATGCTTCCCGGATCACGATGACGCGCTGAAGTCATAAACTCGCCTTATTAGCTAGAGCTTTTACCGAATCCGGGTGAGATGACAATATTTGGAATATTGATGTTGGCAGTTGGTTCTCCTGACCATTAGAATTGTAAGCCCTAATAGGTCATGACTGCAGAGTTTAACATGTGTAGTTCAGATATGATCTATCATTCAATTTGTGTAACCAATAAAATGTAGTTTAAGCTTTACAACCAAGCTTACTTGACGGGATTCAGCGATCCAACGCCTGTAGCTATAGTCCTCAGTCCTCTTCATACTAGCTGAGTGCTCTTGTCTCATAGGGATACATAATTGCATCTGGTCGATCTATTGTTGCAAGCTTTAGAATAATTCGCTCTTTTCTTTAAGTACGGGCGTGGATGGAAAACTCAGCAGCAAATTTGAAATCGGTCCAGCCAGCCACCATACCAATGACTCCTGCATTTTCCGCCTTGACAAGATCAGTAGTACGTATAACCTTGTCGTTGCATACGATTCTTTCGTTTTTGTTGTAGTTTTCAGTGGAGGGACGAGGAACCCTCCCCCCTCCCCCGAAGGAGGGGCTGCTTTGAGGGCGGTATGCTCCTGATCGCTCGTCCATATACAAGGCAACTACTTGCATAGAAAAAGAAACTAGATGTTCCATTGAGCTGCAAAGAATTTACCCAATGCCGCTAATTTACCCCGCCATGTTAGGGCCGCGATTACACCGTAGATAAAACTGATTGGGTCGACAGTGGACATCGGTCATCCAGAGTTATGTTGGTTACGCTGGCAGATCGAGTGCAGAACACGTCAGCTGAAGGGAGCCCATTCAGCCAGCCATCTTTGTAGCCCAGCCCCACTATGAGAAGAGATAGATCATTGCCGATTAGGATCAGTGAAGCTCTGTCTACCCCGCATTATCACATACATAGAAGGTCTATTACGTCGCTACTGGTAACTCCACCTGACTGCAGCAAAATCATAATGGCTGTGTAAGTTGACTCCAATAGGTCTAGGTTCATGGGCTATCTTTGCTACCCTGAATCCTTGTGACATACTTATCATTATCTTACTATGGACGCAAAATTGTCATCATTGACGAGTGCATTTCAAGCTTCAGGCGAGTGTTCTAGCAACAAAATGGCATTTTATATCAATTTTTCCACAGGCATGTCATATGGGCATTTGTCTACTTGTCTTCGTCGACAGGTAAGACTACAGAGAAGCTTCATGACGGTAATATCGTTTGGTAGACCCACCTTTAGGATAGCTAGATTTCAAACTCTCAAAGAGGGTATTATGGATCGCCACACCTCTTTCTTCGATCAAGGATACAGGGCCAATAAGTGATGTAAAGTTAATAGCAAAGAGGGTATCTCCAGCTGGGTTCAAGATCCTGTATCCGCGCTTTGACGGCCTCCAAACGATCCCCGATGCCCGATCCCTGTCAAACATGAGATCCGTAGATCAGTAGGTCGCCAGATAGTTTCACGAAGACGAATGACTTCTTGTACCATACTGGTCTACCATTCTTGAATGGTAGATCATATAGTTCAAGAAATTGGGTTTGTAGGCGTCCTTTGGCCACCGTAGGAGATGCAAGTCAAGTGTTCGAGCAATGTTCGTCCGTTTCTCACTTTTCAACTTTTTTTAAACATCTTCCCTAGAAGATTACTGATCCTGGCAGGCCAATTCTGAATGTACCCACGTCTCATTTGTTGTTCCGACGGAACGTGGGTGACGACTCGAAACAGTTACCGAGGAATCTCATGGAAAGCCGTCTGCGCAAATCCACTGCCAATTTGAGGTCTAAATAGTAATTGCTCTGACTCCTCAGTGGGTCACACAAACGAGCGTTTCTCACATTATCTATCAAACTTTCCATTTTGAAACAGGTTATGCTTGAATGCTGTAGGCGGTCAATATAGAGCGGTCTAACTAGGACGTGTGGCAAAGATCGACCAGTTAAGGTTTCGTACGGTAGGATAGAAAGGAGAAAGAAAGGAGAAAGAAGGCCAGGGTTCTCGGCGGGTGTCGATGTCAGATGACTCGATCGTACTTCCTCCCCCCCCCGTCCTCGCAGAGATTTACAGTATCTTACAATGGTTCATTGGATGCCACAATTCAATATCATTGGCTTAGTGGAGAATTTTCACAAATAACTAGACTGTTCACGTATTGCTAGGGTTTTGATGAAATAAGGGGTACTATTTGATCTTCCTCATGCTGGAAGCTATAATCTACAGTCATTCTAGGAATCTACTGGAGATACATTATTAAAGACGATACAGAAACCCACATAACATGGACAGAGACGGCCGATGAAGCTGAGCCTTCAACCCAAATCTGCTCTGCTACGCCCGAGCGACGTTCCCAGAGAATGTGGAAAACTTCCTATGCAGATGTCCTTCCCTAATCAAAATAGTTTCTCCAGCCTCAGCGGCTTTGTCATCGCCCGCAATGTTCTTTTCCTATGTTATTTCAATCCATCTCGATAGCCTCACATATCTCTTTCCACTTTCTTGTCGTTTCAGGTCCACAGCGTGCGAAGCGCGCGTCTTCCAGTAAAAAACGGCTGATCCACGAAACAATTGGTCAAATATATCCTTAACCATCTATAGAGTAGCTCGCCTTGGCATTTAGGGTTCGAAGACCTCTCTCTGTGCAGAACATTGAAACCAGATTCGGGCGGCTCTGTACCTGGACCGATGTCACACCTACGGGGGATCCTCCGGGAAATCGAAAAAGAGACTGGTTATCCGGACGCTAACCACGGCCCGATGGTGGACCCACCCTGTCCCGAACCTTATCCCACTAACACGCAACTAATCGTCCCTCACAAGTGAAGAAACCCTCGTCATGGAGATGAGAAAACGGCTACTGAACCGAACATCTGACGCGGCTGAAGAAAAAGGATAAGCCCCTAGGGAAATTCGCGGTCGCGACATTCGGGATTTGGTTTGACTCAGCAGAGGCAGCGCAACACATCATCGATAACGGCTTTTAAGTAGGCCAGAGATACATCGGAAGCGTCGAACACTGCGAGGTTAAACGGAAACGATGCTTCCGCTGTCAGCGGTTTGGCCACTTAGCGTGGTCATGTAAAGAAACATCACGATGCGGCCACTGCGCAGCCCAACATGAACGTCGACAGTGTCCACCTGGAGTGAGACCACGATGCCTGGAAGCAGCGAACACCCCACTGGTGATCAACAGCGCCCGACCCCGGCGAACTCGACCCAGTCACAATGCTAGACACCAACCTACTTACACTCCCGTTGAACATCATGAAATCGAGGGCAGGGATGGAGGCCCTCATCAACGCCATCAGAGCCAAGTCCTAGATATTCTTTTAAACCAAGAACCATCGAGCACCGCATTCCGAACCCATGTCAATCATAGCACCTGGCGACTGTACCGACCAACCACAACCGACGAATCAGCTCGTCCGCGAAGCTTAATCTATGTCAGCCGGAAAATCTCAATATCTTCCCACCGGCAGATACCGTGTAACCACTCCGATGTCACGGCAATCAAGATTGGACTTTCTAAATACAGGTACTCCTCTTCTCAGTCTACATCCCGCCAGTACCCCTCCATGCCGCGGAAGAAGCCTTAGCAGGTCCAACGCTAGAAGCTATGCGAAATTCAATTCAAGCCACCTTCCAGGCCGACCCTAAACCCACGAGCGTTACCCTAGCGGGTGACTTCAGCCACCACTATCCGACATGGAGCGGTAACCAAGTTCAGCCGCGATACATAGAGCACACCGCGGAACTAGTCGACTTTATACAATCACTCAACCTCCAGAGCTGTCTGCCCTGGGGAATACCAACCTTTTGGTCCCTCAGTCACCCAGGGAGAATCTCCACCATTAACCAGACTCTAACGGACAGCCTCGGCAGGCTGGTTAAGTGCCACATATACCACGAGAACTTTGGTTCAGACCACTGTGCAACTTACTCGGAATGGAGCCTCCAAACACAACGTAACAAAGAAACCAAGACAAGAAAGGCGTACAACAGGCGGACTGGAACAAGATTGGCGAAGATGTGTTGCGGCGGATGGAACCATTACCCGGCTTAAGCACCAGCTCCGCGCTAGATGGAACCGTAAAGAAACTTACAGCGGCAACTACAGAAGCCATATCACGACACACGCCTGACTGTCGACCATCCCCGTATTCCAAACGGTGGTTCACTGCAGACCTCAAATCGCAACAAGTCGAGGTCAATCGCTTTTGCCGAAGATGGTAGGAAAGCTGTGCGATATGGGCCCGAGATCACGAGTTCTCGATGTCGCTATTCGCTGACCTGCGCCGGAAACGAAGAGCATGGACGCGGACGATTGATAAAGCTAAAGCAGCCCCATTGGAAAGAATTCCTTGATAAAGCCGGTGAAGGGCACCTCTGGAAAGCCCCAACATACATGAAGCCTCGCGAAGACTGGGGGTGCATACCAAACCTGAAGGTCGAGACAGAGGAACTTATAAACAACGAAGACAAAGCCCAAGCTTTCATGGACACCTTTCCAAAAATGGCAGAGGCCGAAAAAGATAGGCTGGCTCAACCTCCCCTGCAATTCATTGGAGCCCGATCACGGAACTGGAGATCTACCGCTCACTAAAGGCCGCCAAGAGCACGGTTTCGAAGCACTCTCAACGCGGATCTTGAGGTAGAGAGGTAATTGGCCTCCCTAGGGGAGAAAAAAAAAAAAAAAAAAAAGGTTGGAGGTGGTTTCACATCAGTTGCTTAGTCTGGCCGCGGTGACCTTTATTGTCCCACCACCCATTCTTGGGCGGATTTCATGTCTTCTGGCTTTAGTGATAAGAGCGTCTTCAAAGCTCCCACTAACCCTGTGCTCCTCCCACCTGATAAAGACCTTCCTTGTACTGCGATGGACTGGTGCCAAAGTTCTCCTAGTATCTATCTCTGCAGCTCAACAAAATCCTCATAATGTATCCAATTTCCTTCCTGCTTAAATTACTGGGTCGCCCCGTTTCCCATCTGATTTCCTTTGTAAACTGGTGGCTTCGTAATTCTTAGAATGTGAGAAGCTTCAAAGTCCCTAGTTAAAGTGGCCCGAGTCTGCAAGCGGAGGTTGATTACTTGCCAAACCAACATGGGAGAGATATATATCTTTCCGGACGCGTCTCATGAGTTACAATCTACGCAGCCCCTTATTATAGGCATCCTTGGCAGCTCTTGTTAGGATCTTAAATGTTGCCAGGGTCCAGATATATCGCCGGGGATTTAGAACTTGGTGGCCTTTTTGTGGGAGGCAGAACAGATAGCACCGTCTGAGATGTGTGTTATCTGTCTACTCGTTAGGGCTGCTCACAGTCTCTAAACCAGGACTTCCTAAAGTATCCTCGTAGTAAGTAGGTATGCAGTCGATCCATGGCTTTGCACAGGGTAGAACATTACAGGTACATCCTGCCTTGTAGATTTGCAGCCCCCTTTGTGGCCTACAGTCCACCGAAAAGCTGTCGGCTATACCGCAATGTATGACACGCACTGTGGCTTCGCATACCATGTGGTGGCCAACTGTCGAATTGGTCCGTAAACAATCTTGTCACCCCCGGCCAAGGTCGTTCTATTATTATCTGCACTATTACAGCTCTGAGATAGTAAAGGGACAACACCCGCTCTACTATTGATATGTCTTCATCTCACCGCATACCCTTCTACAACATGACCAACATGACCAACATGCCCAACATGCCCAAGGTGCACAACATCAAACCATCGCTCATATAAACCCATATGTAGGACCGACCTGTCACTTTTTCAAGACCCTCTGGAGCTCTCATCAGCACTCATTCCTTATGGTGGTGTTGGCGAATATGCTCCAGAAGATTGTCCTTTCGATTTTTTGTTTTGTGACACCCATCATAGTGACAGACAAAGGAGCCAGGTGATTCATGAATAGACTTTCTGTGGCGCCGAAGGTCTTGCAGGCGCTTGAAGGGCTGTCTCCTTTTGCAACCTGGCCAGTCGCATTTCAGGCTATCCGCATCGACGTATGATCTACATGGGCTAAACGTCAGTTCAAGCTTCAATCGTTCGCCATTGGAGAGTCGAGAGCGAATGAATACATGCCTTTTTCTCGTCTTCTGAACAGGACAGGCAGGTCCATTGGATGTCACCGTGGCCTTTGCGTGATCGCTGGCCGGGCCATGGTCATGTATAGCAAGCTTCGTAGGATGACAAATACCAGTAGGACTGACGATCCCAGGCGCCGACTCCGACTGCACGTTTTCCCCGAGAAAGACACACCCCTCGTACACGTTCTGGAGGCCAAGGCTGCTGGTGGCAGGGAATGACGGTATTTGATTGGTTGGTTGCCTCTGGGGTAGGGCCGGGGGATGCATGTCAATTTCAAATGGGAGAGAAGGATATTCATAGAGCAGGGGATCAGAAAAGTGGGCGTCAGGGTCATTGCATGGGTTACCATTGCTGCCATTATTGTATAATGGAGTATTATTGACAAACTGATCGTCAGGAAGAAGAGAGCGAGGATCTAATGTGTCCGTCGTGTCTTCGGTTGTAGACAGGAACGACGCTGTCGAGTTATCCAGCCAATCAGGAATGGGCATATCAGACATGGCAAGTCCGAAGAGAGGATGAGAAGACAGTAGCAGAAGAAATTGTTAAGAAGTATCATGGCGACTCATTGCGACTTTCTGGCCTTTTAAAATCCATCCTGGTATGGAGGACGGAAGGCCCGATGACTTGTCTAGGGCACGTTCGATCGGACCAGGAACACAGCAGCATTTTTTTTTCTCTTCAAGTAATATTATTCTTAAATAAGCTTGGGTTTTACGCGGCGCAGAATTCACCGCATTTTGCCTTGTCATCATAGTACTCTCTGGTGCCCTGGATCGAGCCTTGGTCTCTTCAAGTGTGATGAATTTCCCTGATAGGTCTGACCTCGAGGGCCTTGTAGATGAGTAAATGTAGATGAGTAAAGGGGGGAAAAAAAGAAAAACACAAAAGAAAGAAAACTAAAATAAATAAATAAAACGTAAAAAAAGGCTATCTGGATGCAGCAGCCTTGGATTTGTTCGAGTGGCTGCATCTTACCGACCGGGGAAGAAGAACATTCCGTTCCGGGGATGCAAGGACAATTGTACATTGTCCATAATACTTTGTCCATAATCAGGCATATAAATGGGGTTATATAGGGATTTTGTCAGGTCAAAAGTACAATCCAAGTAGCAAGAACGACCTTGCATCTTAGAATGTTAGGTAGGCACACTAATCATAACTTCCGAGGCGACTTCCGGAACTCTAGGAGATAGTTTAGAGTTGCCTTGTTTTGATTTAATAGTTATACAGTATCCCCTACGCTTCCATAACAAGCAAATAAATATCAACTACTTTTATGAAAGCACGTCTACAGAGAACTCTCAATTACGCATATTGATTGAATAGTAACTGCACTGAGTCGTCTTTTAGGCTCTTTAAAAGTGGAAATATTGCGAATGATGATCGAAGATCACCTGAAGCATATTGGATGAGAAAGACTGCATGGTACTTTGCTGCAGAAGAGCTTAGGTGTCTTGTGAGCATTCACTCTATATGAACAAAGCAACATCTGCATCTTAAAGTGGACCAACCTGCTTTGGTGTGCTTGAGTCCTAATTACTATAATCCGTACCTTGAGTAGCAGCAGAGTCTGGCAAGGTAGGCATTGAATCCTGGTTGTCTGTTCGTTACCGCCCCAACTAATCACCTCGTCAGGTCGTTCGAAAATTGTCGTTCCAGGACACCGATTGGTCCTCGATACTCTCGGTTACAACCTCTTGTAGCAAACCTTGACACAACAGACGTATAAGCCTGGGAATCTATGAACCGTTCTCACATGATGCACCAGACCCTCCTTGCGATTGAAGGAGCGTTTGTTTCTGCACCCTTTCCATTGGCATCTGGGGCTGTCTTCCGTGGCAGTGGTTCTGTAAGATAGTGTGTCATATTGCTATATTTGAGTTGAGACGTGCATTTTTGTATTCGGAGTCTCGGTAACTCCCTTTCCCCTTGGCAGGCTCAACCCTGGAATGGCCTGGGGCACTGCTTGTCATGTTGTTGTATGAGAAGAGTGGGCAGCGGTAAAGACAGGTTAATTATGGTCAGTCCGACCGCTGAGTCCTCCCATTAGGGGTAAAGAAGTGCGTTGCTTTGACTGTGCAAAAAAGCATTGAGATCAACTTGTGTCTCAGACAGAGGCTGGAATTCTGGGTAGACGTATCCATAAATGAGGCCAAGAAATCTGGTATGTCAGACATGGTAGATGACGATCAGGTTGATGTTCCTGGAAGCCGGCGAATCTAGGAGATCAACCCGAATTGCACAAACTACAGAAACTGGAGACTAACCCAAAACTCGCGGAAACTCGCAATCAACCCGAACCTAGTGAAGACTGCCAACACAGCAGGCAGACTCCTATTTGTGACTTGGCGTCCTCTAGGCCCCGTATCCCGCGTACCATTCAAGAATCCAGCCTCGAACCAAGCCTCGAACCTGGTACAAGTGGATCCCATGCGGTTCAAGCGAATCTCCGTTTCCACTAGTTTCGGGTTGATCGCGAGTTTCCACAAGTTTTGGATTAATCTCCGCTTTCCACTAGCGTGACTAGCTCACGAGTATTGACTTATTCCCTGTCCTAGGGGACGTAAAAATCCGAATCCAAGTATTACGAGTCAGTCACCGTAGTCCATTTGTCCATTATTGTTCCTTGATTCCAGCAGCCCCAGCCTTGTAGCATTGGCCTCAAGAAACCTTAAAAAACACTCGAGTCTATTCGCCACTAATCCACCCAGGATTAGGACTTGATTCACAATAGCTGCACTCTATCATTCACTCCATATTTCTGCTTTGGAGGTCCTTGAAAGACTCAACCGAACAGAATCTCAACTCGACACTCTGAATTTGACCACATCGAGGAAAGCTTTGGATTAGAAATCTGATGATAAATCTGACAGCAATGGATTGAAACTATAGTCTCCAAATTACAGGGAGCTACACACTGCTGTGTTGCACAATTAGAAAATCTCCAGGAAGTGCGATCTTTAAATTGGTTGGATGGTTGGACCTCGTTTTGAATTGCAGATCGTGATGTTTCAATTCGTACTAACGGCAACGTGCAGGATGGGAACCAAGGGTCCACCCTCCACGGCGCTGGATGTGCCTGGAGTAAAAATGGTTGTTGTACACCGTACAACCAGCTACTGATTATTATTGTAAATTTATGACCTGTCGAATCAATTCAAATTGCCAATCAGGCAATAGCTGCCTAGACTTTACGGCACAGGTTATACCCTAGCCCGTTCCTTCGCTTTGATTGGCCTTAACATGGGTTCCATCGGATAGTCGAGAATCTCTTAGGCCAGAAAACTGGACAATCCGGCGCCTAGAAACCAGCATGGAGCCTCAAGTCAGGCGCAAGGCACCGCTATTCTTTTTACCATTTATACTCCGCACAACGACCCCTGGCATGTCAGTCACCTGTTCTTGTAGAATAATGGAGCTAAAACCCCGCTATGTACTAAATGTACCTCTACAGGTACACACTTCAGTACTGAAGGTATTGTTCAAACACTCTTACCTTGGAGATATGGTGTATAGTACTCTGGACACATGGAGTCAGTTCAGTCGATATCTACCGATTTAGAGATATTAATTTGTATCTACCTCCTGCTGCTGCAGGAAGGCTTCCTAAGGTATTGATTGAACCCAGGTTCTTGCCTTCAAAGTTAGTGGCCGTGACTCCATGCCTGGCTTTCGTACCTGGCACACTTATGTCATGCTTCTATCCATTCTTATGTCATACTTGGTCTACTAACGTAATTCCCGGGTCAGGTTAGCGGCTCAGTTGGGAATTACGTTAGATAGATAGGAATTGTCATACTCCGTCCATACAATCAGCATACAATCCCAAATTGATTGCCTTGGCCAATGAACGCTCCGCCTCGTTAGTCAACAGTCAAAGCCCCAGCCAGATCCCGTCCATGAAAACGGGTGCCGTTCCTGGACCCAGCTCAAGCAATGGGATGGGGATTACCCCAGCTTAAAAAAATAAAAAAAAAAAAAAATAAAAATAAAAAAAAAATATAAAATAAAATAAAATTTAAAACTGCGCATTCGTTGGTAATCATTGGACAGATCATCTTCATATCTAGCATCCACTGACTGTGGCAGAGAGGCAAGCCAGCGCCATTTCGTAATCAGAGTCCTTAGCCTCCTAGAAGGATGATGCCAAGTAAACTTTAGGTACCAGAAGGTTATACCTGACCACTTTTTCTCATCAGAATCGGTCGTACTACAGTTAATTTGACATAGAAGCGAACTGTCCATATGGATATCAATGTGCATTTAAGAGGCAGATTATGATACTCTGCTATGGTGTTGTTCATTGAAACTGTTGGTCTAATTGCCAACCCTAAGGATGAACGCCGAGCCCGACAATTCGGCAGTTCAGCATCCGCCGCGCCGAGCGATGGTCTATATCAAGACAATAAATAGCCTTCCACCATATCTGCGTGCGTCACTTACCAGTTGACAATGCCGGAAAACAAAAGTTCTACATTGAGTGAGATGGAATCTTCAGACGGGACGGATGGAAGCTCTACCACCATCCACGAGATGGAAATCCATAAATACGATGAAATTGTCCACTGAGGCTAAAGCTAAGGCTAATCAGGATATGAAACCACCAGCTTGGTACAACAGCGATTCATCACAAGATGGTGCTTCTGGTGCTGGGGTTTATGTGTTTGACGTTTGGGGTGTTTATCCCCATCAACGGTATTGTTGTGCAGGCGGTGGATGTAGGAAAGAGTGCTACGCTGGCGCAGTATCTCGTTGCGATACTGAATGCGGGGAGCCAGTCTGGGCGCTTGTCGGCAGAGTGTGCTCCGATCGGGTCGTGGCGTATAATATCTTTGTCTGTGGGGTTATCTTGGCTGGGATGGCGCTGGGGCTGTGGATTCCGGCGGCGGGGAATGCGACGATCATTGTCTTTGCGGTTGTGTTTGGGTTTCTGTCCAGGGCGTGTCAGTCTGGGGCCGGCTCTGCTGGTGGGTATTTCCCGGCTGGAGGAGATCGGGTATCGGACGGGGTTGATTTCGTTGGAGGGACGACGAGTCCGATTGTGGTGCCATTCTGCAGGGTGGTGGGAGTTCGTATACGGGGATAAAGGACTTCTTGGGGGTGACGTTGTTGGTTAGGACGGGTTGTGATGGCGGCAAGGGGGGTCCAGATGGGGTGGGTGTTGAAAGCCAAGTTTTAGCTCATCTAGATTCTTTGCCTCATGTCTTTAGCAGTGTAGATATCGTCATGCATCAAACAGTCCACTCGCCAAACCCGAACAACTCCAGATCCCAATTTGCCCAGTCCAAGACATTCTCTGGTCCGTTCTCCTGGACATCAACCTGCCTATTCGTCAATCCCTCCCTCGCCCTCAACGCCTTGGCTCTCAACTGAGACATAACTGCCCATTTGGGCCCTGGGTCTGGCCACGCAGGATCCGTTTCCACCGCCTCAAAGGTCGCTTCGATGTTGCGCCAGGCCCGCTCAGCATGCACGCTAGCCGGATACACGCACAGATGCCACAGGACATAACACAGAAGGTGATACTGTGTGAATGCGGTGGTAAGCCAGCGAAAGCCACGGACCAGGTCGTTCGTCTGCAATTCCAGCGAGCACTCCAAGCCATGGCAAGCCATCGCCAGCGTCTCTTGCGCAGTGGAAGTTTCATGCTCTGGGCACTGGGTCTGGCCCTTGTTCTGGAACTGTAGTGCTTTCTGCCTCGTGTAGACTGCGACTTTCATGGTGAGGACGTCTGCGAGTAGCAGGCCGTGCCGGTGGATGGGGATATTGGCGTCCCCGTGTTGCAGATAATTACGCTGAATGTAGTCCTTGAGTCCCTTGACCAGCGGGTCTGGCGAGACACCCTGCGACGTCTTTCGTGAGATATCATGCAAATGGCGTTTGAGTTCGATCGTGATCAGCGGACAGGTCATCTCCGTCCAGCGGGGCTGGGGAGCCGGTGGCACGGTTGCCGTCTCGGAGAGATCCTGGTCGTCGAGGTTGGAGGGCAGGTTCGTGTCGTAGGGCTCATTGTGTGCGATAATGGAGAGGCCGTGATCCTCCGCGGCGCGTTGATCGCATGTCACGATGTGCCACCACAGGCGGCGGCGGAGTTCGCATTCCAGCGGCGAGAGGTTAAAGTGCCGTCCGTCGCGGTGGAGGCCGATGGATTGGGCGGCACGGGTGGTGAGGCCGTGGAGTGTCCAGTTGGAGCGGCCGCTGTTGTGGTATCGGAGACATGTCTACTCCTAAGCATAAGTTATAGTCTTTCAGAGGAGACTGTAGGAACGCATACCTGGTAGATGGCCATTGCTTGCAGCGATGTCAGAGTCGGTGAGTCCAGGAACGAGGAACGATAGAGGGCAAGCTCGAACCCCTGCTGATACCGGCGTATATCCGAGTGGATTTCCTGCCGCAAGGGGTCATCCGAGACTAAGGCGGTTGTGGCTGCAAAGCAAATGGCGAACAGTAGCGCCTGCGTATCCGCAGACACATTCTGAGGCTGGTTGATGGCCGCAAAGAACCGAGGCTGCGTTGACGGAATATGAAGAATCTTCGCCACTGGATCGACGCGCCCAAGAAAGGTCTGCCAGAGCTGAATGGCCTGCCATTGACTAGGCTGCAGGACCTGGAAATCTAGGTGCTCGCGCAGTGAGTTGGTGATGAGCCCCTCGACCCGCAGAGGTGACTGTCGCCCAGGGCTCTTTCTAGCAGACCGGGGCATGCCAATAGCAGTTTGTAGATCCTTGTCTTTTTCAAGGAACCCAGTTAGGAGATGCTCGTCGATATACTGACCGTCTCGCACCAAAAGGCCCTGTCGAGCCTGACGCTCAGGGGCAGTGCTTCCAGTCACATTTGTATCATCGTCGTGTATTGAACTGACGGTGGACGGACGCCGGATCAGCTCAGTCACAGCTCTCTCCAATTGATCTATACGAGAGACTACATCTGCAGAGGTGGCTTTTGGCGGACGCCTTTGCACTCGATTAGGGCCTGGATACTGGCAGGGAACTTTCATCCGGACACATGCGGCACAGGGGGAACCCTTGTCACAGCGAACTTTGCGCTGATGGCACCGGAGACAAGATCGCTCCACGTTGTACCGGCGGATATGGTCCATTGTATCATCTGTTCATTAGAGATGCGTAAAGTTAGTTACATGTAGCGGAGATGGTCGGTCAAAGTTGTGCCACTTCTTGGCTCTCGGCGTCGGTCATTCACAACTCCGAGACTTAAGCTTATTCCAACAGCGAGCCAATCAGGGGAGAGGCCACAAATCACTCCATCTGATTACATGATGATTGCTCCTTTGGGAATCTATTCAGAAGATCTTAGGTCAAGCATCCACTGGGCAGGAAGGCAGATTTAGACTCAAATTGATATATCGGAAGGCAGATACACAGCCCCATATTTCACACTAAGAGTAGTTGAAAGCGGACAGGCAGCAGTCTAAGCCACATTCCCTGCGAAATATATCTGTTCCATATCCCACATCAAGGTATCAATTCAACATCCAACAAGACATCCAAATAAGAAGAACACAAAATGGAGCTCGCAAATATCCCCCATATCAATCTCCTCTGCATGGAAGATCACTTCATCAGCGCCTTCCAACATGCTCTAGCACAACGCTGGCCCGAAACCAGCACCACCCCAAAACCGACCATCACCATCGTCAACACCTCCCTCCGCCAAGTCCCATCCAGCACAAAGTTCGACCTCATCGTCTCACCAGCAAACTCCTACGGCTTCCTCGACGGCGCCTTCGACGACGCCATATCCCGCGCCTTCTGCCCCCCAAAGCACCCCTACGATACCCTCACCCAGGCAGCGCAGAGAGTTCTCTACGAGCGGTGGAGGGGTTTCGCACCTCCAGGGACGTGTACTCTCGTCCCCTTTCCGGATAAACTGATTGGGGAAAATGAATGGGGCTGTCGCTGGGTGGCGATTTGTCCGACGATGCGGTCCCCGGATCGGGTCAACTGGGACCGGGAGGTTGTGTACGAGTGTGCGTGGAGTCTGCTGTGTGAGGTTGAGGGGTGGAACCGAGGTTGTAAGAGAGAAGAGCGGATTGAGTCGGTTTTGATTACCCCACTGGCGACGGGGGTCGGAAGAGTGAGTGCGGAAAAGTGGGCGGCGCAGTTTGTGCTGGCGATGAGGCACTTTGTCTATGCATTACAGAGGCCGGAGAGATTGGCGGCTTTTGGTTGGGGAGGTGTGATTAGGGACGTTGAGGAGGTGAAGACGACGTGGGAGTTGTAGGGTTGATCTATTCACAATGGTGTACTGTCAAACCCTAGTCTACCAGTATAACTGTAATAATCATGTAGCCCTAAAGGTCCCGCAAGTGATGCTCACCATGTGGTCCCGGTTCGAAGACGCAGTAGTAGATAGCATACTAGCCATGGCAAAGATGTCCGATGATGAGGGACACTTGCGATTGAGGCATAGCTGGTTTATTTCGGCCAGACGTGGTCCGAACTGGACGAATTGATGTATTAAGATTCAAACGCCAGTGGGCTTTTCCTGCAGTAACCCACAGCCGGCAAAATAGTATCACACGGGCTCCATTAGGATACCATCCTACCGCTTGGAGGAGGCAAGGACGGTCTCTCACCGGTCTTTGTGCCCAAGGGTACTATCGTGTCCTACAACGTATGGGCAATGCATCCGCGGCCGGACTTCTACGGGCCAGACGCAGAAGAATCCCGTCCTGAGCGCTGGGAGGACGGAAAACTGCAGCCGCGCTGGGGTTATCTGCCGTTTAATGGCGGTCCACGCATCTGTATAGGGCAGCGATATGCGTTGACTGAAGTTAGCTACGTCCTTGTCCGGATGGCGCAGGAGTTCCGGGTCCTGGAAAGTCGGGATCCCAGACCGTGGGAGGAATCGTTGGCTTTGACGTTGTGTTCCGGAATGGAACGAGGGTCTGTTTTATTCCAATCGACGCTGAAGGACGATAGATAGTCATGCACTCTAATATAGCACTTTACTAGTGGAATATCGAGAGTAGAGATCATTTTGTTCATCTATGAGTGGAGAATCATACTGTACACAGCGTGCATCAACCCAAAGCCTTATCCAACGCCTGGCCCTTGCACATTTCGTAATAACTACCTCCTTTCTCCAGCAACTCGGCATGACTGCCCGCCTCCACGATCCTCCCAGCCCGAAAGACAAAGATACAGTCCGCGTCCTTGATCGTACTCAGCCGATGCGCAACCGCAATGGTACTCCTCTTGCCGTCTTTGGCAGCCTTGCTCAGCGCCGCCTGCACAACCCTCTCGCTCTCCGTGTCCAGCGCACTGGTCGCTTCATCCAGGAGCAGGATTTTCGGATCGCGGATCAGCGCCCGAGCAATAGCGACCCGCTGGCGCTGCCCACCAGACAGCTTCGCACCGCGAACGCCAACCTCGCTGCTTAAGCCTTCAGGCAACGAGACGACGAAATCAAATATGTTGGCGTCTTTGCAGGCTTGTTCGATTTGTGCTTCGGTGGCTTCCTTTGATTCCACCAGTCCCATGGCGACGTTCTCGCGGATGCTGCCTTGGTACAGGACTGGCTCTTGCTGAACGAGAGCCAAGCGGCGACGGTGGTCTTGTGGGTTGATCTCGTGGATTGGCTGATCGTTGACAGCGATGTAGCCGGATGTTGGGTCGTAAAAGCGGGAGAGCAGGTTGATCATCGTGGACTTGCCGCAGCCGGATGGACCGACAAAGGCGACGAATTTGCCCGGTGGGATGCTGACGTCGATGCCGGAGATGACGTTGGAGTGCGGGCGAGAAGGATAGGCAAAGTCGAGAGCGTGGCAATCGACAGTAACGGGTCCAGGGTCTTGTGAGAATCCTCCCGAAGGAGGCTCATCGGAAAAGCTATTGTCGATAACAGGAACGCGCTGGCGCAGCCAGAAGATGTAGTTCGTTGATCCTGTCGCTTTCGTAATGCTGGTCGTGTACTGGAAGATAGCAGCTGCGTTCTCGCCTCCAACTACGACCGCAGTGAAGACCACAAAGAACTGCTCGTTGGTGTACTCGCCAGTTGAGATGAGCTTCCCCCCGTACCAGAAGCCTAGCGCCATGGCCAAGAAGTTGATGGATTGCGTCAGGGCGTACCAGAACATGGTAAAAGCCAGCGCCTTCACAGATTGCTCGGCGACAACGGTCAGCCTTTCCCCGTAGATCTGAAGCATCTTGTTCTCTAGCGTAAGAGATGCCACCGTGCGGATGGCCGAGATTGATTCTGCCGCAATCGCAGCACTACTGGCGAAGCGCGCCGAGGTATCTTCCTCCAGCTTGTACTCTAGGCGGATGCGGGAGTAGCCACTAAGCAGTAACGGAGGCAGTGCACCAAAGACGCAGACCAGGCCCAGCTTCCAGCCATAAGCGATGCCCAAGACAGAGACGGAGACGACGGTGACGATGTTGATCAGAATCAAACCGAAGTTGATCCCCAAAAGCTCGTTCAGGTTCGAAGCGTGGATCAACAGCCGAGATGAGATCGCCCCGGTAGCGTTGTGTTCCAAGTCGAAGAACGCGATCTCTTGCTTCATGGTGTTTCTGAAGAGTTCGCGTCGATACCTCCGGCTGACTTTCTGGACATGGATCAGGATTGAACGACACGCGGAAAAGACCGGCAAGGGATACTCACCTGAATGATGACGTTGGCCGTCCATCCCAAGACAAAGTAGAGGAAGAGGTTGACAAGGGCCACAACGAAGAACATCAGCGCCCAGAAGTCTCCCCGACTAACAGCCTCACTACCGTGTAGCTGAAAAACTTGGAATGTCCGCGCGATAATGACGGCTTGTGCTGGGAAGGTACCGCCTGCGACGGGTTAGGAGGGATACTGGAGAGCTTTTGGGCAGAACTGACCTCCAAGAGTACACACAACCGCTACAATCGCGTACAGCCCCCACAGCTGCCGCTGCTCCTTTATCAAAAGCCACAGACACCGAATGAGGCTGTATCCCATAGTCTCCTTGGCTACTGCTTTCGCCTTCTCCTCCGGAGAGAGAGATTCAGCACCCACACTCCTTGTGTGATGCAGCGACAGCTTCGCGGCAGACTTTGCATCATCGTTCTCCTCAGTAACTTCCTCCTCTTCCGAGTCAGCCTGCTCTTGAGCCTTGCCACCTGCCTTCTCCAGATCCTGTGCCCGGACTAGCCTCGCATAAGCACCGTCTCTGGCAATGAGTTCCTGGTGCGTCCCCTGCTCGATGATTTGGCCCGCGGACATGACAGCGATGTTATCTGCCTTCTGCACCGTAGACAATTTGTGCGCAATGGTGATGGTCGTCCGGCCGACAGAGATATTATCCAGGGCGCTCTGGACAATCTTCTCAGCCTTGGGGTCCAGAGCACTCGTCGCTTCATCCAGCAGCAGCACCGACGGCCGAGATATGATACTGCGAGCGATGGCAATCCGTTGCTTCTGTCCGCCCGACAGCATACGTGCACGCTCTCCAATCTGGGTATCGTACTGCCTCGGCAGGTTCTCAATAAACTCATGGGCATAAGCGTCTCGACAAGCTTCTTTGACAAGCGCAAGCTTCTGCTCGTACGGGGCCTCTGCGTACGGCGTCCCTACCAAGCCGAAAGCGACGTTGTCGAAGATCGTCCCGCTAAAGAGAACCGGTTCCTGCTGCACGAGGCGAATCTGCGTGCGCAGCCAGGCAATGTTGAGTGTCTGGATGTCGATGCCGTCGAGGAGGATCGTCCCGGCTGCTGGGTCGTACCAGCGCTCGAGAAGCCCGACGATGGTGCTCTTCCCCGAACCACTGGCGCCGACCAGGGCGGTCGTCTTACCGGCGGGAACGCTCAGATTCAGGCCGTTGAGGACTTGTGTATCTGGACGAGAGGGGTATGCGAACTCGAGAGCTTTTATCTCGATCTCGCCAACACATTTCTCCGGCGTCAACCCTGCGGTTGAGAGGGAGTCGATAGCAGATTTCTTGTCGATGACGCGGAAGAGCTCGTCCGCAGCAGCAGCGGCTTTGGTGATGGTTATAATTTGAGGGGCGATTTGGGTCAGAGCTGTGGCGGCAACGACTACCGCAAAGATGACGCTGCCAAAAGAATCAGTAAAGGAGGCCATTTCGCCAGGCAGCAAACGCACGTTACGATATCCCCCGGCTGGTGGACTTCGCCACGAGCAAACATCCGGATGCCCTGCCAGAAGGCAAGACCGTATCCCGCGTAGACGCAGAAGAACTCGGAGGAAAACAACACACCATAATTCGGCGATTTCTTCATACCTACGCGCTCCATTTCGGCCAGGAAGTCCTCGTAGCGCTTCGCCATCACCGGTTGCAGCCAGAAAGCATGAACCGTCGAGATACTCGAGAAGACCTCTTCGGCAACCAGGCTTGCGCGCGAATAGATGCCCATTAGTTTGTCCTCATTCTTCACCTCGATGCCCATGCAGACTCCGGTGACGATGACGATTGTCGGAACGATGCAGATGGTGATGAGCGTGAGCTTCCACTGCACCGCAAAGGCGACCACGAAAGCCGCTACAAAAGTCGCGCAGCTTTGCACAAAGACGGATAGCTTTTCCGAAATGCCGTTGGTGACCAGATTGCCGTTCGTGGTGACTTTGACCGACGGCGACCCGGCGCCTTTCGAATCGAAGTACGCCATGTCCTGGCGCAAGAGACTTTGCAGAAAGTCCAGCCGCAGGGCTTTCGTCGCCCGAATCGCCGCAATGGATGCGGTCACTGTGTGGATGTAGACGAGGACGGATTTGGCGATGAACAGATACACTAAGTAAAGGCTGGTCATGTTAGCGACAGTGTCCACGATTGGATGTGCAGAGGACTGACGCATATTTCGACACCTCCCTCATGTAATCGTCCGGACCAACCACCCCCAGAGCAAAGTTGTTAAACGTCGTCACGAACTTGCCAAAGATCAGGTCCATCAACGGAAGGGCCACACCAGCTGCGATGGCGGCGGCGATGGCGAGTGAGTACAGAATCCAGCTAGTTCTGTCGGCATAACTGAATATGCGCATGTAGCTCTTGAAGCCAGAGGGTTTTGGCTCGTCTTCGCCCCCATCTGGCTTCAGCTCTTGATTCTTCTCCATGTCCGACATGATGGACACGGAAATCTTGATGGGATTGGCTGCCAAAGTCGTGTTTATGATATGATGTTGAGATTCGGACGCCTCGGGCCCCGAGTGCGTACACGCCCTAACATGCTAAGACGTCTGCCTAATTGCTCTAATCCAATCATCCAATAGAAGTGCATAGTTTTCGGAATTTCGGCGACTGCCCAGACCGTACTTCGTATAGATTTTCCTAGTGCCATGGTCATGAGTCATTCTAGGGTGCAGGGGTTGCTTGGCTGACAGTGATATAGACAGCATTAATAAACCGTGGAGTCATAGGGACCCAGTAGGTGTGCCAACGGTCTAAACGACCAATCATACAGTAATTGATATCACCCACATACCGTTCATGCAGATGGTGAACAAACTTTACAAGTACAGGTCCCTACCTGATTAGGGCTTATGGAATCACAGCCGGGGAGAAAATGGGCCCAGATCTCCCGGCGGCTTTCGGCAGGCAGGTCCTCATTTGATTTTAAGTTGGATGCGGCTCAGAATCGCGTCATCAAAGCCAATGGCCCGGTTCGAAGTAAGGAAAAGAATGCCCTCATAGTAAGGTATATCAGTTTTTGAGGAAAACAATCAGAAGGCGGTTATGTGCATCAAGATAGGAGGTACGCTGTTGCATGAACGCATCTGCCTCGTCCAAGAAGAGGACTGCATTAAAGTCCTTTGCGACTTTGAATATTGTATTGAGCTGGCGATCCAGCACATGGAGGTCCCCATGGTCGATGACTAGTTCACCACCAGATATCTGATAGGATGATGCAGCTATAATTATACAAGATCGCACAACCAGACCGTTCCCTCATTTATCAGTCCTTTGCCCATTACCTTATAATTATCTTAAATATCTTCAC